TTAGGCAACGTGTTGCCATTGATGATTATTATTATTGTAGTGGTAGCTACTTTCACTTTACTTTTATTTTTTAATTAAGTACTTACTTTTATAATTTAATGTACTGTACATAATTCGTGAATTGTGACCTGAGCAGCCAGCTTGTTGGTAGGCAGCATAAACTAACCCTTCCTTGGAAACATAGGTTGTCGAGAAAAATCCTTTAAGGAAGTTTATTGGAGAATTTGTAAATAATGGTGAGCAGTTAAAGATCCATCGAAGATTACCGGTCCAATTACATGACTTCCCATTAGCCATAAAATACATTAATTAAAAAAAATATTACCTACTTGATTTCGGCGTGAAACTACAACATGTAGGTCTTCCTGTGACGAGTAGTGTTCATAATGTCGATTTGAACACTTCGCAGTTAGAAAAATAAGATTCATTTGTCCATATACTCGGACTGGCAAAACCGTTAGTTTCGATATTCTTGCGGATAAACCACCTACAAAATGTGACCTGGGACAATGCATCAATGGTAATACATTGTGTAAAATAAAGCGAAGTGTCTTGAAATGTCTTTAACTGGATAATTGCATGACTTTTTTCGAGGGGATAGTTTGTAGTTATACCACCATTTGTAGGTATGTAAGTATGGATAATAAGTCAATAAGTGATGTTATAAAAATCAAATTTTTCTAGACCTAATGCAAGTATAAAATTTTGGAGAAAGTTGTAATGCCCAAACCCCCCCACTCATGAGTGCGTCCCTGATTTTTTTAAACATCTGATGTAATTATTTTCATTGTTTTGTTGCCTCGAATAGATTTTGTTTTGTTTCTTTTAATTCATCACAGCCTACTTAATTAAAATATAAAACCGTTGATATAACTGGTATCTTATTTTCAATCTTATGTTATGATGGCTCGTTGAAAAGAGAATTAAAAAATCTATCAAGTAATCTAAAAATCCCATATGGCGCCTATTTAACTTTAGGAAGTTGATAAATGTTCCTCAAAAGTAGCCATCTTAAATTTTTTTTACATCAATTCTAAATTAAACGTATCAAAGACAGTAACTTTTATATAAAACTTTTTTTTATATCTCTTATACTTTCGATTATATAAGACATTCAAGGAAATGACCAATTATAGTTTTTTTGAATTTACGTCGAACCTATGCGACATTTTGAATTTCCAAAAGGAAATTTTAAATAAGCATCTAAAACTGCAAAACATTGCCCATTTAACCAATTCTCTATCCTTCATAATAACAAAGTTACCCATGCAATCCCACCCGATCTGGGACACACTGTATACAACAGATGTGTTCGGATTACCGAATAGTGCAATAAAAATGCATCAGGGCGTCTCGAATCGGTTAGAATTACCTGGCAACATTATTTTTATTTAAGATAGAGATTTGAATTATTTATTATTTTGCTCAATTTTCTGAAATTTTTGCCTAATTTTATTGATTTTTCATTTAAGGGGAACCGAGGCTACTTTTATATGGACCGGATTTTTGAGTTTTCGTCAATGAAGAATAAAATACAGGAAACTTGCAAGTAATTCATTTTAGAAGAAAATTTTATTTGGAAGCAGCTTGAATTGTAATTTTGTAGGATGAAACTCGTATTAGAAATGAGCGTTGAAAAGAAGTGCGTGTTAATAGTACAGTAATTAGAGAAGGCACCCACGCGTGTCGATTTTCTTATATGTGCCCCTGCGAAACTGAATTACCACAAGTAGCGCTTATTTAAATTTTGAAAAGATGAAAAGCTCGTCTAGATGCCGGCACTTAACTTTTCTGCTGTAAAGTGAAGTAAATTAGTGCTTGTGCCCTGCGTTGATGCGTTACGCTCGTAAAACCGTGTATATGAAAACATTACACTTATATTACCCACAAATGTAGGATAAAGTGCTACATTCCGCCTTTTTTTATGATTGGCGAACGAGATTGCTTCGCCGAAATCTAACGTTAGCTTTATATCTAAAAAGACATTCGCGTAAGTGCGAGCTTAACGGCATCCCTAGAAAGTTCACATACTGACTAATGTCAACGTCACCTTTAAAACACCGTAATATTTCCATTTCCTCGATCGACTCTAAAATTTCAAGTTAAAAGAAAAAAAAGGCGACGAGAAAATCGGGCGAATACCTCCTATTAAGTAAATATTATTGATGACTTACACGTGTTATGACTTTAGAATTGATCATTGGGATTTAGAGTAGCAGAGGGAAGATTACATCCATTAACCACCTGGAAACTGTCACATAAATTTACACAAGTGACAAATGGCGATTGCCGCGAAGATGATGATAGAACGTTAGAACTTGGAGCGACATTTCAAAGTTAATGCACTCTCTCCCTCCGGGATTAAATTTTACTAGGCTTCCTAAAATATTGTTTTCCATCCATCTCGCATTCAACCACCTCCAATTAGAACAATTCAATTTATCGGCTTCGCAATTAGGTATCGGGTAAGATAAATTTGCTAATAGTGCGGTATATAAAAAAAAGCGCATCTCGCAGGGAGCATCAATCATTTTAAATAAACATCAACATGCTTCAATTTTTTTTTGTAATATTCCACCCCGTATAAATGTGATTTATTAACATGAGCGAGGATTATTTGTTAAACGTGGAAAACTTCTACACCATTAATTAAATTACACAGGCATGCGTGAGTGATAAAGTCTTGCTGGGATGTGAGTGATCTAATATTATTAAAAAATGAATTATTTTGATACTCAACAGAAGCGTTTTAAAGGCAAAATTTAGTAGTCGCTGCTTTTTTTTATCAAGATCCTTATGCTGTGGAAAGTGCGCCATTAACAGTATAAGACAACGAGTCTATAGGACCCGACTTTGAGACTATCAGTTTTTTTTAAATGGAATTTTCGTACCCAGATGAATTTCTTATATTTTTTCATTTATTTACATTCCATTCCAATTAATTCAAAATGTTTGCAACAAACTGAGTTATTGTATAAAAAATCATTTTGGATAATTTTCTACCTATTACTTTAGAGGAGGAAGATCAAACATTCAACCGGAATAGGAAAGTTTTTTTTGCGATTAGAATTTAGCCGTTTGAACCAACGTTACACCAAGATTTACCAAATAGTTACTAAACGACATCTCCCACAACTTCTTTTTTCACTTTTTCGCTTGGACAATACATTTTTTTGTAGACTTGTCGGTTTTCGTATCTGGTGTAGTAATTTGCAGAACAGGTTTGAGGTATCCTAAATTTCCGCATGTTCTGATTTTGTCTATAATTGCATTTTGCTAACTGATTTTTAAAATCCAGAGTTTCAAGTGGAAATTTAGAAATATTCCAAATTGAAACATCATTTCCAAGTCGTTTCTTATACTTTTTTGCGCCTTTTAATCGCAGATTTTGATTTTCTAGTTGAAATTTAGAGCCACTAAGGTTTTATAACTAAATATTTTGATGCATTCTTTACTCTGTACTGAAATTTTGAGATTTTAAACTTTATGATTGAAATTTACTTCACAATTGCAGATTGAAATATTTTTATACACTTTCAGACGACCCAATTTTGAAACTTACACATCTCAATAGTACGGGAAAATTGTCAAAACAAGAAAATTGCATTGTGGCATTGCATTCTCTGACACAGGAAGCATTACATTTTGCCATTCTCTTTATACATTTTTTCAATCGCTTTCGTCGTAAAGCGCAAAATCGCAAAATATTTTTTGGGTACTGTTCAACTGGCCTTGCACTTGATCGTAGCACAGATGCAATAGTTTACATCAGTGATGTGAGAGACGTAGTTGGATTTAAAAAAAATCTGAAATAAGAAGCTCATTTTAGAAAAATAGCACAAATGTATGCATATGTATAGTTAAAGTGTTTGCAACATAGGGATTTCAATGCTAATTTCTTTATCTCGAAATATTTTCTCCCCTAATTAATTTAGAGCAACGTTGTAAATAAGTTTCTTGTAGCTTGAAAAATTCTCCGCCTGGTCATGTCCTCATTTATTATTTTTTAATTCGGGAAACTAGAAAAAAAATTAGAATTTAGTATTTGCGTAAAAATGGAATTTTTGTTTCAATAATTTAACGGCACGAGTGATTATTGCTGTAATTTCCTTAATTTCTCCGATTTTCCACAACAAAAAATTACAAATGGGCACATGAATAGAGACGCATAATTTTACAATTTACAAAAAATGTATGTATACAACTTTGCTGTAAAAATTAGGGGGGAAAATATTTCAATATAAAGAAATTACCATTGAAATCCCTATGGTGCATAAACCAATTCTACACCCTGTAGATATATGATTATAGGTGGGTATTTACCATTATATTCAAAATTCGTATCTATTTATTTATTTACTTATAATAAAAGCAATTAGGTATCCTATATAATTAGCGTACCTACTAATTGGTCGAGGTAAGTGAAATAGACGGGTCTAGATGAGGGGAGGAAACTTTAAATGAACTTCAATTCCACACAGTTTTTTTTTATTAAAACTGTATTGACAATTATTGCTAAAAATAGTATATCTCCTGCAATTCTATGTCATTATGTGTGCAAATCGCTGTTTTCAATTTTTTGCTTTATACCTATTTATTATTTACGATTTCATAAATTTCAAAGTCACTTTTTGAGTAAACTTTCTATTTTTTTTTAATTATCTAAACATAGTTCACTCATATAAATCGCGCTTAACCATTTTATCAAATTTCATGAACAAAGAATACATTATTTTGCATAGGCGGTTTAAACGTATAAAACAATCTTAAGCGCAACATCTCACAGCTTCCAGCTAATTGAGAGATTTATGCTTGTATGGTATGAGTATGTCATCGAAAATTAAAAGAAACTTTTATTCCAGGCCCACTTCAAGTGGTTTAAACGTTTGGGCAGGTTAATAATAATAAAGAAAAAAAAAAGATTTATAGACGGCATCTTGGAACTTATAAGATGAAAATCTCACGGTTCTTCGGGTGAAAAAGCTGCTATGCTAAAAGTGGTAACGACAATTACGAAACTCTTGTTAGTTAAAATTTTTTATTTTCACTTAAAAAATAAGTGTTGGTCTTAGATTGCTTCGAACCCATACTGAAGCTTTTGCCTTTTAAAATATCTGCGCACTTGTAATTGTAGTTGGAGATTGACCATGGTCAAGGGTAACGTTCTCCGTACTATTCTTCATTCCGCCCTATAACAGAACACCTAATAAAGATTCAGGATTAACGTATGCATTTAGAATGAAGTTGTAATACTTCAAGCTTAGGAACTAACCTGCTCATTGACTATTTCCATGATTTGATCAACGGCTTTTTCCAAGGATTCCATTTGACTTTGCATTCTATGTATGGTCTCATTAACGTTTTTCACCTGATTTGTGCAATTGAAGGTACACGCTGTACCTTCGCTATACAATACGCTGTCCAAATTTACAGGATCATTCATTACGAAAGCATCAAGTTCTTTTTTTTCTGAGAAACTATCTGGGACGGCATCCATCCCTCGCTCTGTGGTAGAAACGGCGCTTTGCGGTGGTTTTGCAATGTCTAAAAATCATTACTTGAAAGGGGCTCGCGCTACCGCGTTTGTTACCTGCAACCATGAAATACCCGGTGGGATTACGATAACCTACACCGTTCTTCCGCACGAAAACCCAATAGTTTATCACGTCACCCGCCTGAAGCTGGACATTATTATCCCTTATTACCCATGTATTTCCGGTTCTATCCCTTGTATCCATCGCTATCGCGTCAGATTTCAACGCGTGTTGATTTTTTCGTTGTACACGCCCGTGGAAGTAAAATACCTCTATCCCATCCTCGTGCGGAATACTAACTTCTAAGGTATTCCCGAAAACTTGGAATTCCGGTGTTGGTATTACGTAGCTGTGAACGTACGTAAACAACAAAGTTAGTGATGCATAAAATCGTGACATTTCTACTGCGGTTTATGAGTAGCTGATCTATCAATTTATGGTGCTGTGTGATAAGTGATAACCTTAATATAGAAATAACGACGTTGATTAGGGGAACTTTATTCTTTTGTTGTTAGCAATTCCGGTAAAGACCAAGTAAATTTCCAAGAGTGCATCTAACCAATCGGGATTTAGGAAGAACGTAGATATGCAGTCTCAGTGCAGTCAGCCTAGCCGTTTGTAAACATACACATTGAACCTTTGGTAGATAAAATAGTTTCGGTTGTTGAACATCAGTTTTTTTTCCGCTTTTAAAGATCCTCCATAAAATTTCTGCATATTTCGGGAATCTGCGCCCTATGTGAATGCAGTTTACAGCAAAGATTAAGTTTCTCAAAAGTGCTCTGGTATAAGAAGTTTTTTTTGTACACGTTCACCATATATTTGAATATGTAGCTCACAAAACAAACACTTCGTTATGGGTTGCGAAATTATCCCGGAAAGCTGATAAATGGCGTGGGATTTCCAGTTGTGGTGACTAGTTGCGGGAAAAAATTACTTGATTGAATCACTTCTATAAAGAATACACAAATATAAAATAATCTTCCTTCATTTAGCCGATTTAAATTATTACATTTTCTCCCAATATGTAGGTAAGAAAGGTGGGAGTGAATTCGGTCTTTGGCCAGATGCTTTTGCATTTGGAGATCTGGAGGTTTCAGGTAAGTAATAGGAATTGAAATAATCCAAACCATCACTTCCATGATTTCGATTAATTTAATCGTTAGCTCACAAAAGGTTATTGGTTATCGGCCTGAAAGCATAAATAAGTAATACGCACAACGTGCACCAGCAAGCTAAGCGATGTTTTATCAACTTGTAGTCTTTATCATATTGAGTGTTGTGAAAGCGGCCGTTACTTTGGAGTACTATAACGTACCAGTCTCCAAAATAACAGTCAACGGGAATGGTTTCGAAGTTGAAATAGACCACGAGGATGGAATCGAGTTATTATACTTTCACGGAAAAGTTTTGACCTCAAATGTGAAAGTGGCGCCCGAGTCGGTCATTGATCTGCAGACCTACGAACGGGAGGGTGATAAATGGGTGTTAAAAAGCAATTACAGTGATTTTAGCTTAGATGATTCTATTACGTACTGGCTGTATATCAAGAAAAATGGCATAGGGTACAGATTGCCCCCAACAGAATATGTAATAAAAAGTAAGTCGTTAACTTTCAATGTAACCACCATAAGCGTAATGTTTCCAGAGATCAATAGAAAATCTAGTCAAATCACAGCTGAAAACACAACAACCCCACTTGCACCAAACTTAGAGGATCTCCGAGCAGATATGCTCGACTGTGGGGCTCTCTGTGCCGGTGAATTGCAGAACTTAACTCACAAATTAGCCACACTGAGAGGAAGAATTAATCTACTTCGTAAATCTCTGGCGAAAATCACCGAAGTAATGGATATGCAAAATGGAGCGGCAAATTTTTCTTATTTGAATCACTTTACTGTATACTAAAAGTAAGCACATAGTATATTTAAGTTTGTTTGTTTCAAACATCTCCCTATCTCTTTTCCTAGTCCGATTCCTTGGGACGTACACAATAACTGACTATCAGCAGAGGTTGGCATCATTTGGCTAAGATGACGATGATGATGCTGATAACAAATCATAGAATTTTATACAAAGGAAGGTACACATTTTTTTTAGGTTCTTTTGAAACCCATGTTGGTGGACTGAAGTCATTGAAAAAGCACTTTAATTCAATGCTGACGCTTAATTTTAGGCTTAATTTAGTGCCGAAAAATCTTAGTCGTTCATAAAGAGTGTACGATGTAGATATAGAAAAGGTACAAAATCATATCGAACTGCGAGTTATAACTTTCTAAGTTATTAGATACAAATTTTAAAATTACCAGCTATAAAGTTGATGCTTTGGTGAATAGAACTCTCGGTTTAAGTTACATTTTGGGATGTTATAAAAATTTATCAAAGAATTAAACCTTTAAGTTCGTAATTTCAAGTTCATTTTGAGTCGAAAGTCAAAATGTGCGCTTATATCTTATAAGTCGTAGTTTTGGGACTAAAATTTCGAACTATAAAGTGAACTTTTAAAATTTCACTTCATATTCATTCATTTCGTCTGTTGGCTTGGTAGCATATAAGTAACTTTTTAAAAATTGCTAAACAAGTTTTGATAGGCGCTGTCAATATAAAATATCAAATGTGTTAATTAAATGTATTAATGGCATACAATTATTAATAAACTTTTTTGTTGTTATCAAAATTTTGATAAATTACTTAAAAATAGAAGTGACCGTTCAACAAAATTAATCAATATATGACGTACCTTTTAATTCTATAAAACGTAAAACTGACGACGTAACCGTCAGTTCCTAGATTGCTCTAAAAATTTGCCACAATATTTTTTTAAACTTATCATAAAATCATCTTAAACGAGCGATCAGAAAAAAACCAATCGAAATTTGACGTGTTTGCAAATTCTAAGCAAATTCCGGATTTTCACGTTGTGCATTTGATCAATTTAATATTTTGTAGTAATAAAAAATGGCACTTTTTGGATATTTCGCTTATCTGTTAAAGTATACGAGAAAGAATGCAGATATTACACAAAACCTTCAGTAAATAGTCTTCTTCTTCTTCAGGAGAGACACAGGTTAAAGAAACGGGTCACTAATTTTTTAATATAAAATTCAACCTTCAATTCCATTTTTTATGTTTTGACGGTTAAGGATTAAGATACTGATTCTTTGAACATCTTAGGGCCGGTTTTACAATTACACCTATTCGCAGAATAAGATATTCTTGGAATAATTGCCATAGTAACAAGTATCCCATTGGTTGACGCAATGGTAACCAACGCAACCGTCGACGTTTATTCGAGGTATAGCTTATTCTCAGTATATCCCTGCATTGTAGAATTGGCCCTTAATGACGCAATGGGCCGTATGAATAAAAGTAAGCAAATGGTTATACTTGCAAAATTCAAAGTAAATACTCGTAAGTGCTCCTTCGCACTGGACGACTTAGTAGCGCTTCTAAGCAGAAGGACAGGACGCAGTGCAGCGCTGCTAAACCATGCTAAACAGACTAGTATGAAAGGGCAGTTACGAGTATTTACTTTGAATTTTGCAAGTATAAGCATTTGCTTACTTTTATTCATACGGGCCATTGTCTCAACTAGGGAATGCAATACCGGGATTGCGGGATCCCGAAATACCGGGACCGAGGCCCTCAAAAAAAGGCAGTGAACCTTCCTTTTTTACCAAAAATCGACTGCACCAAAATTTCTCGGGAAAACTCTTTTTTGGTGCGTAGAATCCAAAACAATTCATACTTTTTCGATCAGACTTCTCAATCAAAATTTATAGACTAGAAACCAATTTCGAAAGAAAATTCAAAAAGCTGTAACTTTTGAACTAGTAGCCCAATTTTGGAACTGTTTGAAATTATGGATTCTACAAGCCACATTCTATAAGAAAATTTTTTTTCGGGTCGATCTGAGACAATTTTTTTTGAGGGTCTCAAAAAAAGGCAGTGTACAAACCTTCCTTTTTTACCAAAAATGGACTGCACCAAAATTTCTCGGGAAAACACTTTTTCTTATTAATTTTGGTGCGTACAATCCAAAACAATTCGTACTTTTTCGATCAGACTTCTCAATCAAAAGTTATAGACTAGAAACTAGGGAATGCAACACCGGGATTGCGGGATCCCGAAATACCGGGATCCCGCAGCATTTTTGCGAGATTAATCCCGCACATAAGTGGAGCGGGATCCCGCGGGACTGAGGAATTTGTCGACCAAGGGAACGACTCTGTTAACTTTGTTAATGAAACTGATAACGGCGAATTATTTTTTAAGTAATTGTTAAACTTTTTTCGTTAAAAATGTACTATGATTTTTGAGGCACTTTAGAAGACTTTTTGTGCTTTACAGGTAAGGTTTTTTTGAGTTCTAAGTTAGGCCGAAGGTACTTTTTTGTTAAATATTGTGATAATTAGCGATTTATTTTAATACAGAAGTTAACCGCACAGAATTGCTTATTTGCCAATTTATTTAAAGTTTTGCGAGATCCCGCAAATACCGGGATTGAGATTTTGCTGCGGGATTGCATTCCCTAGTCTCAACTGTCACATGACTGACGCGGCCAAATCAGAACTGTTCATTTTGAAAAAACTACCCAATCAGGAACGCGTTACCTGATCATTTTTGCTAGGGATGATTACCGCGATAATCACTCTAGGGAAGATTATCGGTGACGTCCCGTATAATAAAAACTCAAAACTAATCGTAACTTAACAAAGAAACAGCATAACAAGCATTAAGATCCAGTTTTCTTTTTTTTTAAGTTGAATTGTACGAGCTTTTAAGAATCAAAATTAATTGCTATGAAATTATAAAATCACCTAGCCTTTAGAACTGGAATTATTGAGAGCACATATTTGGCACTGAGCAATCTTCAAATTACCAGAAATGTTCCTGAAAAACGCGTGAGTCATAATTGGACTTCGAGGGAATACAGATTAGAGACCGTTTCATATTTTTTGTAAAAAGTTGCAATTCTAGTTAGATGTTTGTATGACTTTTCCTACGTTATAATCCATCAAAAAAATAGTGGAGCGGTTTCTTCACAATTAATTAATCAGTATCAAGTAGCAAAGACCATACATTTTTTCGAAGTCGTTTTGCTGTTTTTATATTTATTACTACTATGCAATTAGGTACTAAATCTTATCCATGCAGAAAGATTTTTTTTTAATTTTTAAGACTGCCTAGGGCAAAGCGCTATATTGAAAAAGGGGAACCTTTTTCGCCTGGCTCACTATCGGTTTTCCTAACTTGTAATGAATTTTTATGAACGTAATACCAACTTACTATTTAATTAAAAATTATAATTTAAAATTTTTAAAAATAAAACCAGTTCGAGGGACTTTTTATGTTAGAAAAACAAGTCTGATAGTGTTTCACTAAACACAAACAAAGCAGTTTTATCCATCAAACATGATAATTAATGTACTTTACTTACATAACGATTGACCATGAAATCGTAGAGAAAACAGTGCAATTATCTAAATTCGCTCGTGCTATCGCTTAGATTTGGGTTTTTCATCCTTGTAAGCATGCAGTTTGTCGTATTACCCTGTATCCAAAGCATCGTATCTACATACAATAATAAGTAATGCGCATTTATAAGATAGTTAATTTCGATAATTGGTACATCGTTTCGAATCGATGGTGATGTCATAATTGTGCCAGTGAACCAGTTACGCCGTGAGTCTGGTAACCTTCAACTGTGCAATGAGAACGAAAAATCTCAAGCGGAAATTGAACGAAAATCCCTTGTTCTTGTTTTGACTTGTAAAGAAAATCCAGCATTCGAAGTTTTTCCTGTAGCGAAGCTTGTCGTTTAAATAGACTCTCATTGAAGCGTTAACGTTAGTATGTACCAAGATGTGGGTGAACGTTGGTGTGCTTCTCTTTGTGTTAAATTTTAAAAGCACGTGCCAGTACGAAGTGCCGCAACCGGACATAACTGTGCATAAGCCACGTGGATTTAGTGTTAGTATACCACACGAATCTGGAATAGAAATATTCGCATTTCATGGTAATATCAACCGCAAGCTGGTCGGTCTTGGTGCTGGAGAGTTTTCGGTGGACATTCGAAAACAGGAAAATGGCAAGTGGATCTTTCACGACTCGAGCCGAAAATTAAAGGGCGGCGATGTTATTTACTACTGGCTCTTTGTCATCAAAGATGGTTTGGGATACAGACTAGATGATGGCCGCTTTGTGGTGGAAGGTAAGCTTGTAGACGACCCGTAACTTGACAAATTCAACGAATTAATTTCCAGAATCGCACAATTCTGACGAACACAAGACCGCTTCTCCGTCTCGGCAAGAAAATCCGACATGCTTAGAAGGCATATTAAATGTAACCAAGACGCTGCTAGAACAGCAGGCCTACATTAACGCACTCGAATTAGCGAATAAGCAAATGAGGACCTATATAGAGCAGCAGAAGGATGGAAGAAAATTGACCATTAGCGGTAGGCTGCCACCGGATGATATGGCGTCGCCGACGGTCAGTTTCATTCTAAGGGAGAAGCTGGATTTAAACCCCATAATTGTCTCCGCGGAACGTCATAACGACGGCAGTATTACGTTTGAAGTTCCTTCGGTTGAAGATAAGATTGAAATTCTACAAGCAGCTAGAAAAAAATTGGCGACATCAGCAATATCTATAACATAATGCTGAGTGAAGAAAAGGGCTGGGCGATCCCTAAGACCGAAAATGAAGTACTCTTACAAGTGTGGACAGATTTACCTTTTGTGATGGTTTAGGGCCGCAGGTTTTAGGGCTTATGTATTTTCAGGCGACTACCAAAGAATTGTACAATAATTAGTCAATATACTCGTAGGTAAACCTGGGATAGTAAATTCTGTAATATTTTTTTGGTCCTTTACTTTGGCGTTAAAATCAGCTTGAGTGAACAATTGAACAGTTAAAGTTATGGCATGGTGGTGAGAAAACTATATAGACACCATTAATTGGCTCCTAAGAGGAATTAAGCTGTAACTGAAATTTGTGGAAGCATAGCACTGCCAGATTTTTTCTTACTGGTAGTAACTGACTCAAATTTTATCTTTGATCCAAACGTACCGACGTCCGCATGTGTAGATTTACTGACAGAACTTTAGTTAAAATTTTGAGAAATGTGCAAAATGGGGGATTGGATTAAAAATTAACACCCTATAAGATGATCCTCATCGAAACCACCTACTTAAACTCTATCATAGAAAATGTTATCTAAAAAAATTGACCAGGCATGAAAGACTGCATTTTTTAAATTTATTAAAAAATTGTTAAAAATGAAACAAATCGTCTTTTCGATTTTTAAATAAATCCACTAAAAATGTCATGTTTCCAAACTTAAACACCTTTTTAGAAAGTACCCGGTACCCATTTGGTGCTATGATCCGGCACATTGCTTACCTAAATTTTCCTTTAAGTACTCGATTTAAAAAATTTTTAGTATAATACGGATTTTAATGTAGTTTTTGCATAGGTTTAAAAGTACTCATCGTCTTTCTATCAATTCAATTCAAGGATGCAAGTGGGAGTCGTAATGTAATTTTAGGCCATTATACAATATGTGTTTCCCAAATAACTGTAGCGATGGGCCACAGATGGCGTCGACATTTGAAGTACTTTACTTATCTGACACAATTTTAATTTAAATGCTACAAAGATGATACTAAATAGTGCAGGCGCTGGATGGATTTGAGTGTGCAAAAACCGAGGACCGCATTCTGCCACTTGATCCCAGTTCAGAAAAGCTTGTAGATTAATAATTCGGATGTTGCCGGAACCCCGCTTGGTCCAATTTTGTGTGATACCCCCTCCTCTTGCGCCGCGAGTACCGAAGTTGCCTGAGTGCATGTTATATATCTATCCCGATGATAATGCTGTGACAATTTTTTTTTAATAATTAACCATAATTAAATGTTGGCAAATGAAATTAAAACAGGAATGATGAATAAAGAGAGTACAAAATTATTGAATGAAAAAATCAAATACGCGTGAGAAACCAATAACCTTCCAAAAAATGCAAATATATCGATATGAGAAAATGTGAAAAGAGGATCGACATTGTCCTTGTTAGATATGATAATCTATAAAATATAAAATTTTAACGCAGAAGGATGTTACAGGAAATCTCCAAAATGGGAACTTTCTCTCGAAATTGAAAATAACCATAAGTGTGTTACAAACACACGGCAGGACGTTTTAAAGTTGAATACAACAAAAATTACTTGTTCATAGAATTCAATTAAAAAGGTTCAACACCTTTGGCGATTTTGCTGAGGCATTCTTCAAAAAGATCCGTAACATTTTCTTGCAGTTAAATACAATAAGACGAATAGATACATATTATATTTGACAGATACGATGATATTTCGATAAAAAAATTTATATTCAACTTTACGTAGTAAAGGTCAAAGGATTAAAAATGTTCACTTGTAATTTCAAATGATCACACAAAAATTCCAAATAATGGTGATAATTTTTTTTCAAACCCTGAAAATAAATTACAGCTCGTTCGAATGGTCTGATGTACTGCCACTAATAAATATACACAAGTACAATAAGATTGCGTTCTATATATCTGCGGAGGATTTGATGATCCAACGAAATGTTTCACATTGCAAGGCTCTTCATTTTTTGAAGGACCTGACTTGAATTCGAACCATTTAGAAGCCGATTCAAGGATGTTTTATAACATATTTCACGCAGTAAAAATCCAATCTGCTCACATCATAACCCTTAGCGCTGATACAGATGTTTTTCATCCCAGGAATTTATTTCTGGAAGAAGCTAGCTCGTCTAGGTTGTTTAGGTTTGAAGGATCTTATAAGAGGAATTGCATTTTAGGATGTCATTTGGCTGCCCAATCCCTTGGCGAAAACATTTACTTATCGTATTTTACCAGCATTACACTCTGCGATTCAAATGGCAGATTGGGCTCGAAAAAAATAGTTTACAAGTTGCATCGTTGATTTTTGTACAGAAAGCTCTAAGGCATTTAGGAAATCCATATCCAAGTATCGATCAGTTAACAGAATTAGAAACCACTTGCAACAAAAATTAACTTCGGTATAAATTAATTTCGCAAAATATCGGCTTAGGCTTAAACTTATTAAGAATAATTTGCACATCAAATGTTCTACATTTACATTATTTAAGAGCTTCAGCACAAACCTATGTGTGGATAAATGCTGACCAAACAATAGGTATTACAGCCTATTGATTACACCTTATTAGGCTATGAAAAAAAAGATGATAAATTGTACCCAAGGTAGATGACGAAGCGACCATTGCCAGAACTGTTGATTGAGCCCTGTAAATGTTCATCAAATTGTCAAACACAGGCTTGTTCATGCCAAAAGTTACAACTAAATTGTATTTCGTTGTGTAAATGTATTAATGACTGTCACACTAAACAAGATTAACTTTGGTATTTTTTTTGATAACTTAACATTTGCTTTTTCGTATTAAATATTTTTTTTGTCAACAGTTCTTGTTTGTATTTCAATTATTTTATATTTTTGTAACAATTGACTAGCTATGTTAATCTTTAATCATAAGAAGCAATTAGATATTGTCATTAAAACAGTTCCAAAGAATTTGTTCCGACTATTTCCTTGATGTCTAAAGAGGTGGGGTATAAAAAATAATTGGACCAACAAAGCTATTGGCAACATCCAGAATTATATTCTGCAGGCTTTTCAGAGTTCAAAACTATTTACAGAATGCGGTCCTCATATTTTGCACACTCAAGTCTATCTAGCGCCCGGTCTAAAAGGACCAATTATTTTAATAGGATTTTTGTGATGGCAATGGTAAAAGATACCATGTAAACCTTTATCGCATTTTATTCTATAAGAGCATTCGCACCTTAGTATGCAGTATGGGGTCTTATGGACTATATCCCTCCTTTACTAATTTGCGTCATTCTTCAATAACGCTATCCTTATTCCTTACCGCAATGATGCCAAACTTACATATGATTGAATTTAAGCTTTAAAACAAAATATAACGTCAAATCTTCTTGTATTGTCATTACGTGTGTGGTTCGTTTTTGTCTTTCGTATTTAACACATTTTATTGTCTCATTGCTTTAAAAATCGTTCTTTTAAGAACGCCCCATCTCGTACTTTATATACAAGGTAACTTTGAGTGTTCTTGTAGAACCGTTATTTGATTTCATCTTTTTAGAATATCCCATTAAATGGAAGCCGAAGCTGAAGCAGGATCTGCTAACGTGAAACGCCATAAAGGAGAGTGTTTTAGCCGGAAGGAGAAACACCTCATTATCAACGTGCTGAACTATTTCTTGGGAACGATGAACGTTACTGCAGCTGTGAAAGAAGCAAGTAAAGCTTTATGTTGTTCTGAACGGAGCATCTATGCCATTAAAAAGGAAGACGGAAACGAAGGTGTATCAAGCCCGAAAAAACGCAAGCAAAGAAAAGGGAAACAAAGCAATGATCGTCTTCATGTGTATGATGAAAATGTGCAATCAGTTATTCGACGTAAAGTGCATAACTTCTTCATTACAAATATTCCACCAACTATGAACAGCATCTTAGCTTCCGTAAATGACGATAACGATCTACCCAACTTTAAACGCACCACATTATTCAATCTCTTGAAAGATATGGGTTTTGAATTTAAGAAGGTTGGCCGCAAGAGTATCCTTATTGAACGGGATGATATTATACGATGGAGACATAAATACCTACGTCGCATCAGGAAGTTGAGAGAAGAAGGTGCTTAATCTTTTTATTATATTTAATTGCAAATTACATAATATTTATATTTTAGGTAAAAATATTGTGTATACGGATGAGTCATGGGTTAACATTGGTCATTCGGTGAGCAGGGCGTGGCATGACACCACCGTTGAAAGCAATCGTCAGGCATTCATCAAAGGACTCAGTACAGGTTTAAAATCACCCACTGGTCTAGGGCCTCGCTTTGCGTTAGTACATGCTGGTGGTGATAATGGTTTTATTCCGGGCGCGGAACTGACTTTTCTCTGCAAAAAGAACACTGCTGATGCACACAACGAAATGGATGCAGACACTTATGAAAAGTGGTTTTTTGAACAGCTTCTACCAAATGTGCCACCGAATTCAGTCATTGTTATTGACAATGCCTCGTACCACAGTAGAAAGTTGGAGAAGATACCAACAATGTCGTGGAGAAAAGAACACATTATAGATTGGCTTCGTGAGAAAAATGTACCGATTGAAGAAAATCCATTAAAACGAGACCTACTGGCTTCTGTTGCGCATGTTCGGCATCACTACGACAAAAATAAGCTTGATGTTATTGCACAAGAAAAAGGTTACGAGATTCTCCGTTTACCTCCATACCATTGTGAATTAAATCCCATTGAAATGGTGTGGGCTCAAGTTAAACATCATATCAAAATGAATAACAAAACATTTAAAATAAAGGACATGGAAGAATTAATAAAAATGGGTTATTCACAAGTTACGGTTCAAAATTGGCAACATTATGTCAATCACGTGAAAACTATCGAAGATGGCATGTGGGCAGCAGATTATCTTCAAGATGATGTTGAAGAATTTATAATTCAAGTGTCGCAGTCATCTTCCGATGAATTTCAATTCGATTCCAGTGACTAATATGTATACTGTACATTTGTAAATTTTTGGGGACTTAATAAATACAAGCTGTTCTCGGCCACATTTGACAAACAATTACAACTTGTTATTAATTTACCTTTTTGACTTCTGAGGTTAGGTTAAAAAGTAATAAATAGTGTCTAAACTACCGTTTTACGGTGCAGTAATCGATCCTATAATAAGTTTGGCAAGCATGTACTGTTTCTCCATAAGCCCCATACTGCATACTAAGGTGCGAATGGTCTATAGTGGCAGTATCGTGTGATATGTTGCCTATAATTGGAACACGAAACTCTCGTTGCCAAAGTAGAAATACTGCCCATCTCATGAAGGAGAGTACAATGGTAACGTATTATACCCTGTCAATTTTCCTTTATTTTGATTTTTTCTTTCATTTGGATACCATTTCAACCCACTATCCATTGACAAGATGTTTTTGATGTTTCCTACTCAATTGTTTAAAATGTTTGATGTTAAAATGAAACCGAGATTATAGAAAGACACTTCAAACGTGTTGTATAGGAATTTTTTGTACATGCAGAAGGGCTCCTCTTGTAGCTTCGGGCAGGCCTTGCTCTCTTGACTACCTGTGCACTGATCGCATTGAAGTGCAGCACAGCAGTCGGAAGAATTATGCCCAAATTTTTGGCACTTAAAACACCGCACAATCCATTTTCTGTGATACATAGCCATCAGCCAAACCATAATGTGGCGGAACCCCGTCTTGCTAAAAGTGCAAATTATATTCGTTTAGCAGCATGCCCCCTGAATTTGTGTAATCAGAAGATATATCTATCTCCTCGAATAGATTCTGATATAATTCCCCTGTTTAGTTTCCTTCTAGGAATATCGCCCTAATTTGACTCCCAAGAAGACATGCCTAAACATTGATTTTCTGCAATCCCAGATATCTACAATAAATTGTGTTTGTTCCGTTCATTCGTATAGCAGATATTTTTGGAAAAACTAGGATCTTCGCAACTATTTGGAACATTCACAGAAGTCGATTCTCCCGTTGTAATCATTGTTGTATTGTACCTTGTATAGAAAAAACTTCTTCAGAATTGTATGAAGTGACCCAGTAGATAGATTAGTTAATTTTGCGACTGTTGACGAAGTAGGATTTGTAGCAAATCGATCAGCTCAATTTCGGACAATCTCAGTTTTTTATTATACACTGTCCGAAACTTACGCACCAAACATCAGATACTTATGCCACCATCTTGGAATTTTTTTAGAATGTAAGTAATAGTGGAAAGGAATAAAGGAAACGTACACGGGAGAAATAAAAACAATATTTCGAATTTGCAAATTCTTGTCGGGAAATTTCAAGACGATTTGAGGTCTGTCTAGTAGGTTTCCCTATAAAACCTATCGGCTCTTTCACTATCTCAGTGGAATATATTACCAACTGGTTCAACAAGATCTGAATTTCTCGCATGTTGTTCAAAATTCCATAGCCATGGCGTCCAATGTGACCTGACAGATTCTCACTCTTAAGAATTAGTGTCTATAGCACGCCTACCACCACTAATCATGTTCTCCTCTTCGATTCCTTTTTATCTGGCAGACTTGTTAACCTCCCCCTCCACCTGATCATTTATTCCAATGCGTATCACACTCTCCTATAAAGTACCAGAACCAAAAGTACCAGATCAACTAACCTATTCGATCCCATGCAATTTCTCTCCCCAAACCACCTTCAACTTCTTCAATCCTAGACTACACATGCGTCTCTTAACTTTACATAGACGCCTATTTACAATTTCTTTCGTGAGTGTGTCAAACGCACCCCAAATTACAGCCGATCCTTTTAGATAGACAACTTAGAGATCACCAATTTTGGAATAAACTGGATTTCTGGAAATGAGCCTTAAATTTTCCCCGAACGATTAGTATAATGTTATGTTAGGTTATAATTATAACAAATCGGAATAAGAACCTCCTTTTCCTGGATTCATTCCCTTGATTTATGGACCTCCAGCTACCAATTTACTACCAAATTCTTTACAAAATATTTTTACAATCATCTACGAAGGTTATATGTAGCTATTTCCCAATTTATACTACTCAAATTACTTTTGCCTATTTTTTCTAGCATGCAAATTCTTTTTCTCTCTATTCGTCTCGAGAATTTATAAGAGAATATCAACTGGGATTAAAACTGAATAATGTTTGTATCACGGAATATTGTTTAGGCCTAACTTACCAAGCAGTTACTTTTGGTCGCTAATGGTAAAAACATTATTTTCCTTATCTGTCAAATTATCGTTATGATACTTGCTATATAATTCGCGTCACTAGGGTCATTACATAAAAGTGTATTGTTCATCTTTCAGGATAAAGCAGGAACCAAATTGCTAGTCTCCCCATACTCCTAAAACGGAGATTTTTCGACAAACTTATACTGATACGTTTGAACTACCGGATTTGCTCAAATTCAAAATTTAATTGTAAGAGCATTTGACATTAAAAAGTGAATAATAGATTTGATACCACCCACGGGCGGCAATTTGAAAGTTTGAAGTTGCAGTGCAGGTCCTTAGTGAACAAATATTTTTGTATAGGCCAACTTGGATTTAGCCGCCTCTAAGATCTCTAACTTGTCATCAATAGTAGGAACTTCAAACGCTATGCTTCCATCAAAATGTCTTTCAGCTGATACCACAACTACATTAATATCCAGTTTCTCCCTCAACAAGAAGGCGACGGTGCTTGAGGCTAGTCCCTCCAGTGGAATCCTACCACTGATAGTCATTTTTCTGGCGGAAGGTGATTGCTCTATAAAGTTCCTCAGTTGCTCTGATTTTTTTTTCAGTGTGACAACATAGGATTGAAGTTGCCCGAACGACTGCGTGACGTTAAACAGACTTTGGAGGCATATGGTGTTGATTTCGTTACTGCACATTCCATTGGGGTTACCAATTCTGGTAGGCATCTCAGAGTTGGTAGATGCGTTTTCCACTAAATCTGGAGTGTACGTAACCCTAATCATTAATAGTTAGTTGTGAGTGCAACTTTACCTGTTACTGTAAACGAAGTACTGTCCAGTGAGTATCCGTGGGCGTCTTTTACCACGAACATCCAGTAGTGAATGGTGTCACCAACCTTTAGTTTGGTCCGTTCGTCATGAAAAATCCATTTTCCGTTGACGGGATATTTCACTTCCTTTGTGAGATCTCCTGGATGTAAATTTTGGATCACTTTGTTGATTTTCCCATGAAATGCAAACAGACGTATGCCGGTTTCGTCCGGTATGCTAACGCTAAAACCGCGCGGTTTGTATACCAGTATTTCAGGCTTTGGAACTGTGTAACACTGGCAGCATTGGGTTACAATTAAGCCTATTGAAATCACGAGTACACTCGACGACATTATGAATACTACTGTATTATAGTTTTGATTGACCAATCGCCTAAGCGATAAGTTTCTTTGATTGAAATTTAAAAATTCAGTGATAAGTAGTGCACGGCGGGCATTAACTTCCCCTGCCGATTATTTTTAAAATGAAGTAACTAAAAAATTTCGCAACTATTGACGTTGATCCTGATACGCTATCAATATGTTTGGACCTTTGCTATTGTGGTAAACCCACTGGAGCGCAGGTCAATCCTCTTATCGAAATTATAAACAATATCTAGAATACGTATCCAAATCAACCTGTCAAAAAAAAGTACAAAATCCGCAATGTCGCGTTTCCTAATTTACGTGAATTCCCACATCTAACACGGGTCTGGGTAAAACCAGGACCTGGACCCGGACTAGGGCACGGTTACGAATCACTTTTTTATAGTTTATTATTTTCCGACCGTCCGTCGGTGTGAACACTCTTTTTAACAGCGGCTTCTTTAAAATTTAGGAAAGAACGCTATTGATTTTCATATCCCCATCACTAGGGACAAAAGTTACAGGGATTTCTGTTGATAGGGAACGGTAAATATACAAAGGCGACCTAAAATTTCTTATTTATGGAGCGAATTTTGTAAAATTGTAACAGTAGGTACTCCTAAAAAGGGTAAATTCAAGGCGCAAATAATGAAATAGGTCGCCCTAGAGCAGAACGAACTTTCTTATTTATGGAGGGATTTTAGAAAATTTTAACCGCACGTCCTTGATACAAAATGAAATTCAAAGTGCAGGCTAAAAATCCTACCACGCATGCGCAAAACTAACTTTCTAGTTTATGGATCGATTTTTGAAAAATTTTTACAGTAGGTCTCTCACAGAAGTGTTAAAAATTATGGGTGTCATGCGGAGAGAGTCTTATTTATGGAGAGGTTTATGGGAAATTTTAAAAATAGTTGTTTAGAGGGGATCTTTCTGTCTTTTGCACTTTCGCAAGCTACGTTTAGAAAGTACCGTAATTTTGAGCTTTTCTGTAAATTTATTTTGTTTCGTACCGTTTAATTTTTGCATTTTTCTTCCATAGTCATTTTTACCGCTCCGTTTAATTGCAAGGTAAGCTTTTTGTTATTTTCCGTTTCATTAATTAAATGGGGGGATATTGTTTCGCTTTTGCGTAGGTACCGCTACAGAATCGGACTATCTACTGTTCCGCTTAGGGAAATTGTTTCGTCACGAACAACTCGCAATTATTAAGAGACAAATGATGGAACAAATTGGTTAGTATTGCCATTGAATAATAATTACTTATTCAATGGTATTGCTTATTTATACAATACACCCCGATAAAAAGATTACTAAGTATTACAGGAAATCATTATTTCCACAATTAGCATAGAAATATCGAAATCACTCAATTACCATCGCAATTAAATCCTATTGAATGCAAAAGAAAATTACCTAGATACAATATAGTATTAGGACTATTTGCATATCTTCCATCAATTAGAACCTAGACAATGAAACTCTTCTTCGCTATGCTAACTACCTTGTAATCACTTTATTTTAATTATCGTAGGTAATTACAACGTGTTTTATAATAAAATTCTTAGTTATTAACACACAGTGTGTCGACCTAAATTGGCAACGTATGGAAATTCTATTATAAAATTTACGAAACAAAGTTGTTCTTTATAAAAAGTTCTGTTTGTTCCAAAACTCTAAATGTACCATTCAGTTTTTCTTTAAAATGGGAGGTTTTGAATAAATTGCAAAAACCTGTCTTTTGTTTTTGGTTAAGGTAGATTTTGCACTGTCTCTATTTTTTGAGGATCCGAAAGTGTGGTGAATACACCTTTCTGGATCATGTGACCTAACAAATTGACCATTTTCTATAGAAATTAACATGATTCTTTCTGAAATTTAAAATTATATTTACAAAAACGCTCGTTATTCTGGTCTTGCAAGGAAAATCCGCAAAACTTCCGCTTTTTGTTCGTTGTCTCTAGCCCAAGTGCCGTTCTCTTTCCTTAGACTATGCTTGTGTTTTTGGCCTCTTTAGGTTTTATGTAGCTCTCTACAGCGAATAAACTCTCTGGCTCCCTCAAGAAGTCTTTAAATGTATAATTTTTGTTTTCTTGGATTCCTTTGTTGAGTTGTTTGCTCATTGCATCTTCTATTCTTCTCTGGTCCAATTGAGTGCTGCCATCATTTTCTGGCTCTTGTTTTCGGGGTTATCACATCTTCACCTTTCCGGACAGTTCATGCTGTTTATGAAAGTACAAGATAATTTTTTGAATAACGTGGTGCACTCCGAAAAGAGTTGTAATCATAGGGCATCAATACGGCTATTGGGTGGTTACACACAGTAGATGCTTCTAAAATAAGACATGCTTATGAGATAAATTACGTCTTCTTCTATAGCTGCCTCAACAGCACCATGAAATTTAGTAAAGTTTTTCACATCACCTAATTTCCTCACTATACTTTCTCCTACAAGCTAAAAGTTCCTCCATTTTATCAATTTTTCTGAAAAATGTAGGGTTCTTTTAAATTACCCCAGTCTTCAAGAGGATCAAACACTCCTAAAAAATTAAACTCTCATGACACAGTCAATATGGCATTTTAAAAAGTCTCAATGAAGTCTTCCTCTTGTTTTCTCTTTCGAGATGTTTGGTATATTCTGCAATTTTGTCTGTTTTCGTAGATAATAATAATGTTTATTCGTTTTTATGTGAACCATTAGTTTAAATATATAAATAGTCTATGCTGTAGGAAAAATTTGCATTCAAGAGAACCAATTATAAATAATTTCTAAGAAATTGCGAAACAATTACTATCAAACCTCCAGAAAATAACCGCATAGTTATTGTAGAATTACAACCGCAATACTAAGATCGCATCATCTAGTTACTTAGAAACGACTCAATTAAACTCCAGGAAAGCATCAGGGAACCCATTTCTGGTACTGTTTTTTGTTTCAATAAATAGGAAAAGAATACGAAAGTTTGGCTGTATCACTTGTTTGACTATTGAGTACTATTTCTCCCTCTATAGCAACATATCTAATTGAGAGCGTCGTAATAATGTACTATTACGTAACAGTGGGCCATTTTTTGTTTCCAAAGGGTTATCGTTATACACACATCGCGATAACTAAATGACCTAATATTTATTTTTATAGCTGTGTCTTACTCTTGTGAAGTAAATATCTGCAACATATTTTAAGATTTTATTGAATTAATTGTTACCTTTTATGTGAAAATGTAATTAGGTAACCTATGATTCCCTAGAACTCGACGCGATCGCCGCATGAAGTATAAGTACAGCTCGCAATCTCAAATAGTGCGTTAAAAGAGATAATGCATCAAACTATATTAGTATTAGTGCTGATTGTGTGCGCTGTAGTGTCGTGCCAAAGTTACGTGGTGCCCGAACCTGAAATAACCGTCTACAGGCAACGGGGTTTCAGTGTCAGCATACCACATGCTCCGGGAATACGCATATTTGGGTTTCACGCGAACATCAATAGGGAAATAACGGATTCGCAGACCGGAGAGATTTCACGAGATATTGCCATTCATGGTAATGGCAAGTGGACCTTTTATGACCGAAGGAACAAGCTCAACATTGGCGACACGATACACTACTGGTTGTACGTTCAAAAACATGGTATGGATTACAAGTTCATCAATGGACTATTTACGGTGAAAGGTGAGAGGTGTGCAGTTTGATTTTGGTATTGATCATCACTTTTTAGAGCTTGTAGAAAATCCTCTTATACGAAACGCTGGCAAAGCGTCTCACTATACCGGAGCAGATGAGATAAGTAGCGCTAAGACGCTGACGTTGAGTGGAAGAATTCCATTGGATGGATTTGCTCTAAGCACTGTTGCTTTTGTGCTAAAAGAAAAGTTAGATATAGATCCTGTGATTGTAGCTGCACAGCGAAATTCTGATGGCAGTATTACGTTCGAAGTTCCATCAATTCAGGACAAGTCGAATATCCTTGCAGCTGCGAAAAGCAGTTTCAGTGCAGGGACAAAAATCAATATACAGTAGTAATACGTCCTATATTTTTTCCGTACTAGTCCTTTATCGAAAAGGAAGAAGCATTTCTTCGAAATAATTTCGAAGTGCCCAAAAAGTGTGTCTCTTTCCGCGACGTTTCCAATAATATCTTCTCTGTAATTTTGTTTTATTTACTAAGGAATTTTCAACATACTTTTCTGCGAGGGCCACTGTGTGATATTTTGAAACGCTACTGTAGCCAATATTGTGCAAGAGAGTCTTGAAGTTTATGTGCTTTTCAAAAACGATTGGGCTCGATGCATTATTTTTATAGGAAATGAAAAAACACAAGGAAATAAGTATAAAAATAGGTATTATAAACAATAATCTCCTCAAACAAAAAGTTAAATCTACCAGATAAACGGTTAGATGGTTCTGCCACTTAATTCTATAATAATTCAGTACTTTCTGGTCACTGGGACATTGTGATACTCAAAGTTTTCAGGTGACGAGGTAAATAAAGTATTCTTGCCGATTGCTAAGTTATAAGAGGAATCAAATTAAGTGATAGCTTTAATGGTTCTGTCAGACAAAAGTTTTTGCAGATGTTGGTATTTTTAAATTTTAGGGCTAAGGATGTGTGCTTATTAAGGCCGTGGCAATATTTCTGACACTATAATTAGTATTCTACAAAAACCTTTACGAAAACTTTGTATGGTGTGTGTGGATTTCAAGTGTAATAAGATATTAATATAGTTATTTGTACAACTAGTTTTGAAAGTAATACTTTTTTTCATGAATTTGCCGTTTGATTAATGAGGGCCTTTGGCCAACGTGCAAAATGTGTAAATGGTAAGTCTAGACATCCAGACAATCAAGGATTTGATGAGCGGTCAAATCAGGATGTTGAAGCTATGTACGTGCTTGGCTAATTGACAATGACCCAAAAAACTTGGGCTATAGGTTGTTACTTTGTACAATTTCATAAGAAAGCCTCTTTTTATCGAACCATTAATCGATCACCTTACAAAGCTTTATTTGGAACAGAACCAAAGACAGGATTACAATCTAGTAACATTTGAAAGAGTTACTTGAAAAACTTGTTACTGAAGAGGACTTGGATCTACTTCTTAATCAGCAGGACCATAACATTATTTTAACACCAGAAGACTTACCATCAGCTTCCTTAGAGTACAACAACAATGTTTCAACATCAAAAGATTTACAACCATCTGAATTGATGAATAACAATGGAATCAATTTCTTTATAATAATAATGTATACAGGGTGACACTTTTAACACGTTGAGTGCCACGAGAAATTTTTGAAAATTTTTTATCGGGCCAAAAACTATTTTAAGCATTTTCGGATATGTTATGGCGGGTATAATGGCAAAAAGTTATAAATATCATGATACAGTGTGTAAAGCGATGGGGTATTATACAAGAGGGAATTTTTTTTAAAATATTGATTTATGAAAAAAATTTATTCTTCATGATATGTTTTGCTTGCTTTGAAAGTACCAATAACGTTTCGATAATCTAAAATTTATTTATAAAAATCTGGAAAAATATAAAATTAATTTTTTTTTATTGAAAGTTATCATTCTACATTATAATTAAGATAGAGTATTACTATCAAACCACAAACAATCCACGTTATTGGTACTTTCAAAGCAAGCAAAAAATATTATGAAGAATAATTTTTTTTCATAAATCAATATTTAAAAAAAATTTCCTCTTGTATATCCCATCGCTTTACACACTGTACATTTGTTTATTTAAAAATAAAAATAATAAATTTAATAAAAACTGCTGCAACTACCGAGTGGTCCCTAGGGACCGCCGTGGCCCTATCAGCTATGTTACGAGCGGCCCCCACGGACCGCTGCGGCGCTAAACGTGTTAAAACTTTCAATGGGCGATATCGTTTTTTATATTAGAGGTATCACAAAATGGCCAAAACCGTTTCGGTAGAATCGAGGGGGAAGCAAAATGGTCATATAAAGAAGGAACCAACTTCAACCTCGTACCCCCCGCCACCCCCATGCCTAAATTTTGAATTGTGACGTATCACTTGTGATACATCATTGGAAAGCTCTTAAAAAATGCTTTTCAGAAATACCATATACTGGTACATTTAAACTGCCCATTCACAATTTATTACACTAAAATTTGAACTCTGCAAATAAACAACTTTTATTTAATAAAATGTTCACCGTTTTGTTCTAAACAATACCACAAACTGTTTTCAAATTCATTTCTAACATTTTTAAACACTTCCCTGGAAAGTGAACGGCACTCCCTGACTATCCGGTAGCGAAGATCATTTATGGAAGCTGGTTCAGTTTTGTACACAACCGATTTTAAATGACCCCAAAGAAAGAAATCCAATGATGTCAGATCTGGAGATCGTGCTGGCCATTCTATAGGACCTCTTCGTCCTATCCACTGTCCCGGAAATTTCTCATCTAAAAATTCACGAACAGCCATAGAGTAATGAGGAGGAGCCCCATCTTGTTGAAAATGTATGAAATCTTCAATCAAATTCATGTTTCTGTCAATTGGATTTATTTGATTCTCTATTTCATTGATGAGAGGCTCGACGGTTTTTTGTAACATGTTTAGGTAAGTATCTCCAGTTAAATTTCCTTCGATAAACAGAGGACCAATAATGCTATCACCTAAGATACCTGCCCAGACGTTAATTTTTTGGAGCCTTGAGTATGCCCCTCGCGAAAAAGATGAGGATTTTTATCGTCCCAATACCGGCAGTTATGTTTGTATTCATTGTATTCATCACTAAAACAAATGTTTTTCACCAGTTCCGGATTATTTTGAATATTCTCGGTCATTATTTCACAAAATTGGATTCTTCGATCGGAGTCGTCTTCGGTTAGTTCCTGTACAATCTGCATCTTATAAGGGTAGAATTTGTGCACCTTACGAGTTCGTCGTACAGTTTCTCGCGAAAGTCCGGTCATAGTCGCTGCTTTTCGAATAGATGATGTTGGGTTTGCACCAAAATGACCTAAAACTTCAATCTGAGCAGCTTCATCCATTATTCTTGGTCCGTCTCTTTTCTTATTTTCCACTGACCCAGTTTCTTCAAATTTAGTCACTAACATTGCAACATAAGTGTGACTGACACGTCGTTCTGGGTGTCGGGCATTAAAAACAGCTGCTGTTCTAAATGCAAATCGCGCTTCAGAACCATAGATGAAAATAATTTCAACTCTTTCGGCTAACGTGTACACCATTATGAAATCTTTAGTTAAATTCAACATTTGTAATTTTCTTGTTAAGAAATACTAAAAACGAGACTAAAATAATAATAACCGATCAACAAATAAAGCAATAGAAAATTATTATTTACTAAAAATTGCTGTCATTGTTTTTCCAAAGCATCACTAGATCTAAGAATTTTTTTTTATTTCAAACACTGACAAATTCATCAAATACTCAAATTACTCATTTTTATTACATAAATTGTGAATGGGCAGTTTAAATGCACCAGTGTATTTCTGAAAAGCATTTTTTAAGAGCTTTCCAATGATGTATCACAAGTGATACATCACAATTCAAAATTTAGGCATGGGGGAGGCGGGGGGTACGAGGTTGAAGTTGGTTCCTTCTTTATACGACCATTTTGCTTCCCCCTCGATTCTACCGAAACGGTTTCGGCCATTTTGTGATACCTCTAATATAAAAAACGATATCGCCCATTGAAAGTTTTAAAAGTGTCACCCTGTATATTTCATGGAAATGTAAACAATGTACTTACAGTCGTCCAAATGAAAATAATGGGAAAGTACAATAAAAAAGAAAACAAAACAAAACATCTAAACTATAGTTATTCAATTCACTGTTGCCCTCTCTCTTTCACGCTGTAAAATGCGGATTCTGTCAACATTTTTTTTACATTTAGTTTAAATTGTCGCGGTGATTTTATTACTTTAACATTATCAGATAAATGATTAAAAAGTTTTAAGGCAACAATTCCAGTGCTATTTTGAGATTTATAATAAGTATATAATATAAAATAAACGTTATAACAAATTCGATTTTACATATTTCCCAAAAAACCGGCAATATTGATAACGGACGATAGTTTTTTACGTCATAAATATCTCCGTTTTTATGCAAAGGAATAACTATTGCAATTTTTAAAGCATAAAAGAGTCATTTACCAGCCTTACAAGGGGTAATACGTACAAACTAATACTACGCCTAATTATATTTACACTTATGCCGTACTTTATCGACACTTTATTCCACTCCTGCTTCAACAGTTGAAACATCTGTAGTGTTACTTGCACCAGTGGAATGGAATCTACTGGAAAAATCTATTTATGCGACATTTGTAAAAACCCGGTACATGCAATATGTGGGAATCCGGAATACAGTAGGAGGAGAAGAATATGGATCGAGAATTTTATGCTATTTATGGCAGAAAGAAGAGAGCATTAAGGATCAAAGGGAAAATGCTGCCGAACACCTGAATAGATCAGCTGAAAAAATAAAAGAAGGTTCTTTAAAGAAATTTACAAACGTGTTAGTGGATTCCACAGTATTACTGGATGTGCCTAAGGTAGATATGGGCCCATTAAATGGAAATAACATTGTGGCGATCGTATTAGATAATAAAATAATTTATTACCAAATTGGTACCTCAGTTGGAATTATAAAAATTGACTACGAAACGCTTTTCAAATAGCAACTATACAACATTTACGGAAACAGTTCCACATGCCAACTTAAGTCTTTGTGAGATTGCAGGAAATGTATCCTTATTTGGAGTTCAACGATTTAAAAAGTGTTCCTGCGAACAATCCAAAATACAGTGTAACACAAAAAGATGTGCTTGTAAAAAGTAACTTACGGTGTAACCCGAGATGCCACAAATCAACAACGCGTTTTAATAAAAATAAGTGAAAATTATTATTAGATTTAATAAAAATGTTTCAAATTTCGCTAAAACTATCCTCTTTTCTTTTAAAAACATCAGCTATTAACCGGTGCCTATTTGTTTTGTTAATATTAGTTTCGAATAAAATGATTGCATTGCATTAATGGCCATTGTGGGATTACGTACTTTACATAATAAGGTTTGGTTTACTAAATAAATACTTATTTCGTCTTTTCACTAAAACAGCAAAGTGTTTTGTCACTTACTTTCTTTAGGGAAATCACCTAACAGAGTTGTATTTTAACATCTTCCGTGAATTGATTATCTACCTTAGATCAAATCTTCATTTCATCATAGCGAAGTCCGGGGAAGGACGTCGATGGGGTTTGTCTCTCTCTGAAAAATCAAAATTACCTGAATGTTTAGCCAGCTTCTTCCTAATAGCGTGAATTGACGTTTTCTTTATTGGCACAGAAAACCCTTCTTCTCTCATGTAAACCATAATACCTACCTAAAAACAGAAGGATACAAGAAAACACGCAGTGCAGCGTGTGACACACAAAAAAGTAATGACGTATTGCATCAGCGAAGATCAAATAGGGACGTTTCTACCTACATGCGCGATCAGTATATTTATCACTCGGAAGAGAGCGAAATACAATTTAAAATATTATACTAGTCAGTGGGAACCAAGCTTATAAAATATATCACGACCAAGATCGAATTTTTGCGAGCGAAAAAGGTACCGTAACACTCTGTCAAGAGCTGCAGCAACGTGAGAACTTAGGTAGGAGTTTTATATCCTTTTTGGAATGAACGCACTTTCACTTTACATAATCAGTTCAATGTGTTGTTGCCTAATAGACTGATAAATCATTAGAAATGTATGTAGAAGTAATTACCCAATTTCAAATTTTTGTATAATTCAACGGTTAGGGAAATAACTTAGTTAATTAGATATGTCGTTTTCGCAATTACCTAATATGGTCACATTCCAACATTTAGAAAGACGCAATCGACTAAATTTGGTGAAAAGATTACTGTATCAGTACTTTTCTTCTTATAACAGATGAACAAACATGCCAGTAGGGAAGAAATCATAGAATACCACCACTTTTGCAAAACTGTGAGAAGTTGGCACTGGAAAACCCTATGGGAGCAAATGCCGCATAGAAAGTAAATACCCATTAACAAAGACGCAACCCAAACATGACCTTTCACGCTTATTACTCATAAGATGGTATCTTGTATTATAAATAATGAATGAAGACATCCTGTATATTAATTAGTTAGTAATTAGAACTTCAACCCGTACCTAACTTTATGGCACAGCGGTCATCATTAACGCGTAGGTCTTTACGTCGAAATTAACCTGTAAGCAATTTTCCCATTTTTTCGCGAATAGGTAAACAACCGGTCATCGTCACGACGAAAAATCGGAAATTCAACCTCAAGATCCGTTTGCTAGAATCGTGACTTATTATAGAATGAACCATTTCAAAGTGATATTCTTCGGAATTTCCGCGAATAAATCGGATTATTTGTATAAATGATTTAATCTAATATATTTTGATGTGCTAATGCCGTCGAAGATCAAAGTGCGCGGTTAATACGGTGGCGTATGTTCTCTAGAATAAACTAGTAGCGTTTTGTGTAAAATGGTGTGCAGATTTATAATTTTTCTAAGTGTGATACTGACGACTAGTGCTAGCGTGGTTCTGTTGTTTCCCAAGGGGTTTAGCATAAGTGTTGAGGATGAAAAGAGGAGTAAACATCTTAACTTTCACGTGAACATAACGAGAAATGATGGTAATTTATTAGTGGGCACTTACACCAAGAATGTGAACCAGTTCTTTGGCACTCAGTTTACTTTCGCGAGAAGGAACGTTGCGTTAAATGTGGGCGATTCGATTTCTTACAGGGTTGTGTCTAATACAAATGGCTCCACTCAAGTAATTAAGGATGAAGTTTGCTATGTCAAAGGTAGGTTTTTCTCAGATAAATGTGTGTACCTATAAAAACTGTTTATTGAAGAATTGCCGACGATGGGCATGCTGAGAAAGCACGGTTGGATGTTCAGTTACGACCTTACCTTATCAGAAGAAGACTGTGGCAGAATGAGCGACACTGGACCTGTAGTTACAGCGCAACGAATCGATGTTCCAGATGAAGACATCGCAGCCAAATTGAACAACTGTCAGCAGGCGGTTTTCAACGCAAGTCTATCAATCCTGGCACTTCAATTTGAAGTGGAAGAACTCAGAAACTTGACCCAAGAAATAAAAGACTTTGAAGAGACTTACCCCTTAGCGAAACAGCTCACCCTCTCCGGCAGAATTCCACCAGATGGCGACGCAGTTGAAACTGTCCGGTTTATGCTCTACGAAAAATTAAATCTTAGTCCCGCGATTGTGTCGGCCTTCAGAGAATCGCCGTACAACATCAGATTTACCGTCTCGACAGTTCTTGAGAAGTTTCGAGTTTTAGAAACGGCAAAATTTCTATTGCAGGGCACGAGAATCCAAATATCCTAATAAATTCGTTTTTCAAAGAGAGAGTAATTATTCCTGCGAGTGAAAGGGTGACGGGATAATGTTGTTGTACCTCCCCAGTTTAAAAACTAATTTAGCGTAGAAGCTGACAGTGACAACCTTTGATGAATAAATAATAAGAAATTTGCATATTTTGTGACTGGCAGAGGTGCTAATACCTTCAAATTGCAAATGTTTTATTCATTAGCATGCATGTACCAATTTAAACAACTACTTATGCATTATTAATGTTTAGACGCCAATTTGTGTTAAAATTTATCGCAATTTAATAACGTCAATAGGTGGGTAAATAATTTAAAATTTAATGTGATCGGAACTGCAATGAAGTTTAATTACATTGTTACCAGTCCGTTATTAACAACGTTTTGTACTGTTGGCTGGATCGTTTGAAACCGAATATGCGTTTAATCAAAACACCTACTATGGGTAAAATAATTTATTAGGTTTACTTTTTTCGGAAGACAAAACGAGCAGGTTGTAGTCGTGATCTATCATCACATTCGGTTTCTCATACCCTCGGTGCCTGAAGGTTACATCCGTACTTTGTGTAAATAAATATGATATACAGTCATATAAAAAATGTGTGTAAATGTGCACATTGTCCAAGGGTAATATACGGGGTGGCTTTAGGAAATAATAATTGTAGCCCCTCACTTAATCCAATTGACAAATTTGAATATATTTCTGCTAAGAAGGTCTACCGTAATGTAATAATAATAACCCTTCGCAAAACTACAATACTAAGTGCTCTCGAACAATCATAAATTTTTGATTCATTGTTGATTATCTTGAAATAAAATGACCAAAAGTAGTTAAAACGATTTATGACGTGTAACGTTTCATTTCGAAAATGCAATAAAATACAGGGTGTTAGAACCGCAGTTATTTTCATGCCCGAATATCAAATTTTATAATATAATAAAAAATAATATATAATATAAATTTATAAATTATAAATAATAATATAAAAGAATAAATTGGATTCTGTGGTCACGTAATAGACCCATGACAATATAGTATATGAATTGTATTTCTCCACAGAAAAAAATATGGAGTGATGAAGTAAATGAATTAACTTATTCAATAATAGAGCTCATGCTTTCGTGACGGCAATAAAACAAGCGCCCCGATAAAGGCTATTGAATTATATTAAAATGATTGATCGAATCACAATTGGAAATTGAAATAATGAAATTGGGAATATTAATGATACGGTTCTGCAAGAATTTGAAAAGAATATTCGAGATGGCTCAAATGACGAGCATCAGGAACTACTTACGTAATGTAAAAGTTACCATCAACACTCATTTATCACGAAAAGCTATTCCGCATTTCCTTATATTATTTTCTTTATGTTAACTCTAAAAGTATTTGTCATCGCGAAACGGCTCGAATATGCAGTTGTTGTAAATTCAAGAATTAATCAAAATGATCCTGTGTCGTTTCGATATAAATGGCGTCCGTAGCTACAAGCAGGGTCATGCTTCAAGGGATTTGCCACAACCGCATCCCTCAAACCTCCATCGGACTACGGAATTGTTTTTCAATTGATGTTCGCCACTTTTTCCGAGTTTCTCACAGCTTCACGCAGATTTAAAAGGGCGACAACGAAACAATGCTCACCGGATTTACCTACAAATCCTCGTTCCTTTTATATTCAAACGATTACGCCTTGAACTTGTTATCCTCGCAGTGGTGTAAGGGAAACGAATCTGGAACGATTGTGCAAAAAGTGAAATCTTAAAGTCAAAAATAAAGAGGGAGCAGTTTTCAGTATGGAATGTTATTCGCGACAGAAACAAAAGGTCCGGACTTTTATATCAACACTGCAGACATGATCTCTACGTTATTACGCTCGCCTCGTCTGTCCAATGCGACAATATGTTCTAAATTGTTTTATTTTCCGACAAAATTGCAAAAGAAAGTTTTGCGGGAGACCAAGTGGAAAATTGGATTCAACTTTTTGTTAGAAGGGGGACGAGTAAATTCGGGTTTGTCGAGTTTGATCGAACTCGCTATATAGCATATTGCTTCTGTAATTTGGAGATTGTTTATTTTTGGCGGTCGCGTCTCCTCTTATTTTTGATTCCGTCATATTATTAGATATTGTCCCCTATTATGGGCGATTCGTTCATGCCAAACTTTCATTCGGGCTAGATATTATTACGTTAGAGCGCTAAATTGTTTTCCGCGCCGTCATCAAGCTTTTGGTAGGAAATTTTCTCTAGAAATTTATTACTTTCCAGATTCTCATTAAATTGTTAAATCTGTTTAGCTAAACTTCTAAAATGTAATTTATTTTTTTATTAGCATAGCTAAGTTTGGTATTGAGAGACGGTTGTCTTACCTTTTCCCTACGGCATTGTGTTATCACACTTTTCATTTGTAAAGAACAATATTAACTATGCACAGTTGCAATAATTCGCATCCTTTTTAATTAAATAGTTGGGTATGGCTCGACTACACATTCAAGGCCTAATTTTCCGTGCTTTGTACTAATTTGACTCTTACTTCTGGTTGTAAACTGTAAATAGGATAATTCAGTGCAAAGTACCAGTACTCAATTTAATCCAATCCCACTGAAAGGATATTGCGGATTATATGCAGTTGACGCGGTTTCTTTACCGCCGGAAACATCTGGGCGCCATCCCGGATCATATTACACTAACGTGGTGATTTGTCGAAACCGAAATCGGAATCGAAAGTGCAAAATCAATCGGACCAACTCTAGTTAAAGAAATAATGTGTTTTATTAACTATTATAAAAAGTCCGTTAATGCGACGCTACACACACACAGACAGACTGCGAACAATAAATTTTCCTTTTTTACAGTAATGCGCTAAAAAGAAAGTAGATTTTTCATTTGAAAATTATTTAGTTCAATAGAAAATATTATCCAAATTCATGTGTCCACTCTGTTTATGTACAAAATCAATTTGTTATGTAAAAATGAATATCATGGTGCATTTTCTTATTATTCAATTCTAAGGTAAACTAAGAATATTGCATTCAAAATATCTTGGTCAGATTTTACAATATAATGATTTAGAATGTCCTAAGGAAAAGTTGTAAAAAGGAAATGTGATTTGGGGAGAGAGAGAGAGCATCGTAAATTTTATACTTCATTTATTCAAACTATTACGGCAATTTGTTATTTGATTTGACAACCAAATTGTTCAATTAACTAGGTAAATTTTTTTTCAGACCAAAAAAGAAGTGATTGTGCATGTTGTCGTCAAGAGCTAGCTAGTAAGAGAGTTCAAAGCCCTTAAATGAAATAGCAAACCCCTATTTCAATCGTTTCTGAGATCCCCATGATAGACATTCGTGTCTTGACCACAGAATATAAGAGGGTTTTCCAAATAAAAATTGGCAGTTATCAAATGTGAAGGGGAGTGGCAATTTTATATGCACTTATAGGGCAGTTTGTAGACCATAATCGATTAAAGAAACACAAATACTTAATCCTTCAAAAGGTTGCAACTCCTACAATAGTCATATATACAACGGAGTTTTTCCACCCAAAAGTCAAAAGTTATAAAATGGGCAGGGGTGACAATTTTAAATGCACTTGTAAGGTAGCTTGTGGACCGTGTAAGCATAAGCAAAAAAAGAAGCAGAAATATTTAATGCACGATAAAATGCAATGAACGATTGTGATGTTATGTAAAGGAGATTTCCTAACCAAAAGCCTGGAAGCGCACGTCTCTCATTCTCATTACAGACCTCATTTATCTTGAGAGCCGAAGGTCACATTAGATTCAATGGATGCCGCCTGTTTCATCTTGGTTACCGTGGAGTTGTTAGCGGAGGCTCGCACCCTGGCGGGACTTTAAGAAGTTACGTGACAAAATTCGCAGCGACTACCCCTCGAAAACGGGCTCCTTGCTACAGGTAGTTTATTTCGCCCCTAGGAAAAGAAACATAATTCCGTCAGGCGTTTACAAAACCTTTCCGGCGACACCAGTTTGAAAACAATCGGGCCAAAACTAGGAAAAAAACTCAAACATCACCACGTTAGTAAACCACGCTGGGGGATGCAAGCGTTCTTTTACGGGCCCTCATTTGCTGCCTGCCAGCCAGTCAGTTAAAGTTAGATTAAAAGCTATTTTTTACAAAAAATTTTACAAAAATACGCAAAAAAAGCACTGTGAATGTTGAATCGATTTTGGTCAACTTTTGGCATTACGTATTATATGGCTAAAGCTATGCTCCATTTGAATTTAATGCAATTCGGTTCATAAGGGAGATGTGAAAAGGAGCTTCCTTATTTTTTGACCTACGTTGGCAAGGTACGAAATCCAAAAAATTCACCACAGATATTTAATCCACCACAAACGTTACAGCCCGAGCACTGAGGGAGGGATTTTTTTAACAAAAATGGGTAGTTTTAAAATGGGCAGGTGTCACAATCTAGGGTAAAGTCACTGTAGGGTAGATAATGTAACGGGGGCAAAATCTAAATTTAGGTATGAATGTATCTTTGAGCAAAAGCGAATGTATGAAGGGGGCACTTAAAAGACGCATGCATAACGTGGAAGCAGTTCTCTCTGTAAGTGCTCGGTGGACATTTCAATCCAACACTAGAATGAAAGGACATTCGTAAAAACACTAAAATCATTTTTAATAACCATCTATGTTATCAGTTACAATTATCTTTTTATTATATAAATAAATTACAGTTTTCAGTTTCCAGGTACCCCACATTTAATAGTTATTGCTGTTTAATTTTGTGTATTTAACTTTAATTTCCAGGATCGTTTGTCCTCCAGTCTATAAGGGAAACGGGAATATACCTCGCATTTAAATTTCCTGGGGAACTTACCCGATTCCTTCTCTGTACCTTCAAGTCCATTCCCCGCTTTCACTAAACGTATTTTTGCAATACCCAAAAGTAAAAGTTTTTCATCCCTTAAAAGCTCACCATTCGAAAGAGACGAGATAAAATGACTTTCCTTTCATTGATCTTAACAATATTAATTTGGGAAATGCCAGTGAACGCAAGAATTCTAAACTTCCGTCGGTTTACGGATATAAAATTCGGATTTAAAGAAGAATTCTTACATGTTTCATTGCGCACCAAACTTTTCTTCTTTCGGATAGCATGTGTTCAATAACGCTTTTGG